CTCTGGTCAGACCTCACCTGGAGTACTGTGTCCAGTTCTGGGCACCACAGTTCAAGAAGGACACTGACAAACTGGAACGTGTCCAGAGGAGGGCAACCAAAATGGTCAAAGGCCTAGAAACGATGTCTTATGAGGAACGGCTAAGGGAGCTGGGCATGTTTAGCCTGGAGAAGAGGAGGTTAAGGGGTGATATGATAGCCATGTTCAAATATATAAAAGGATGTCATATAGAGGAGGGAGAAAGGTAGTTTTCTGCTGCTCCAGAGAAGCGGACACGGAGCAATGGATCCAAACTACAAGAAAGAAGATTCCACCTAAACATTAGGAAGAACTTCCTGACAGTAAGAGCTGTTCAACAGTGGAATTTGCTGCCAAGAAGTGTGGTGGAGTCTCCTTCTTTGGAGGTCTTTAAGCAGAGGCTTGACAACCAGATGTCAGGAGTGCTCTGATGGTGTTTCCTGCTTGGCAGGGGGTTGGACTCGATGGCCCTTGTGGTCTCTTCCAACTCTATGATTCTATGATTTATTTCACATAGGCAGAGCCTCCAACATTTATCTGATGAGAATAGAAACATCCAATTCCATAATGATGATTTTACTATTCCCCCCCCCCACCTATCCCCTTCCCTCCCGTCTTCTCCCTCCGCGCTCTAAAGCGCGACTCATGATTTTACTATTTATACCCCATACATCTTACTGGGTTACCCCAGCTACTCTGGGCAGCTTCCAACATACATAAAAACATAATAAAACATTAAACATTTAAAAAAAAAATCCCTTTACAGGATTGCCTTCAGAGGGATCGGGGGTTGGATAAATCCATACCCTCCAACATTTCTCCAATGAAAATAGGGACGACCTAAGGAAAAGCCGGAGGGCTTCTGTAAATCAGTGATGTCCGTGGGGCGCTTGGAGGGTCTGCCTAGGCCCTCGGTCATATGCTTGCCCTGGCTTACAGAGAGACCTGAAATCAAAACTTGCTCTTTAGGCGCAACAACAGGCAACTGAAGCAAAGTCTCAAATACAGACCCTGTAAGTATGATGCACCCAAACACTACGCAATTACAAGGCCAAATAGCAGAGCATGAACTTCAGGCTTGGTAGTAACGGAAATCCTAGGAACTGCTCTGTCTAGGGATGTTCAGCTGGCGCCTTCATTATACATCTTTAGGTGCCAGGCGAAAAGGTTTCTCTGCAGCCAGGCTGATAAATATTCGACAGCCATTTAAATGTTTTTGTGGCACGAGTTGGGTGTTGTTTTTGTTTTAACTATTCATTTTGTGCTTTTATCTTGTGAACCACCCTGAGATCTTCAGATGGAGGGTGATATGAATGAAGGAACGAACGAATGAATTTATGTTCTAACAATCCAGAGAAGAGTAAACATCTCTTAGCTGTAATAGATGAACTAGCAAAAACTACTTAAGAGGCAGAACAGAACAAAAGCATTTTTTAACACATTTGTTTATTTATCAAAGTATTTCTATTACTGCCATATTATGAAGTTATCAGGGTAGTGCACAGCATCAAAATATTAAACACCATTTAAGAATAAAAATACAGCTAATAATTACAGTGACTGGCTAATCAACAACAACAACAAAAACTTAAACAGCTGCAAAGGTCAGTCCACATTTGCAGGAGAAAGGTCCCTTTCTGGGGCAAATGACAGGCACCCACAGACTGATATCCAGACAGCACATCAGCCGATGCCTCATGGAAGCCTCCATGCTCCTGTCAGGGCTCAGCAAAGCCATCAGACCAGTGCAGGAGACTCAGACGGGCGTGGCTGAAGTGGCAGAAGGGGTTTAGCAGCCTCTGAGCCCCTTAATAGGGAGCATGAATGCCTCCGGCTTCTTTCCTCTATGTTTGGGTATTTTCAAGTTGCTCTGGGAATGCCTCTTCATTTCTTACATTACCTCGATCACAAAGGGTTCTTGAGTCTAAAGCCGAGCAATATTCCAATTCTTTGTCTGAAACCAGTATGAAGTTCAGATCGTGATACCAGTTTCAGACTTCTTGAACTGGCAATATTGCTTTATTTGATTTAAGCTGTTTATTTTAAAGTTATTGTGACTTTTTGTGTTGGATCAGAATGTTATTATGTGTGTGATCTTTGCTGTCTATTTTCTTGTTTCTTCAGCTTGTAAACCACCTTGAGAATAGTAATATAGAAAGGTGGTATACAAATTAAAAGTGAAAATGCAATTATTTGATCCCAGAATGTCCCTATATCCCCTGCCAGTGCTTTTTGTAAATCTACCAAAGAATAAAATGAAATCAGGATTCAGGGACTTTCTCAGGACAGTGGACGCTGTGTGCTCTGTCCCATTGGGGTGGTGGTGGGGGGTGGAAATGCTCTGCAGCAGGGGGGTGGACAAAAACATGGTGGGCCAAGGAGGGTCAGCTGGCAGGGAGTGAGAAATGTCCCTATTTTCACCTGAGGAATGCTAGAGGGCATGCATTCAGCACAGGCTCTGAAGACCTGTCCAAAACGGTTACCATGCCAAAAGGCTGCACTGGCCTGAATACCTGGCCACAACATCTATTTAACCCAATGCCTAAAAAGACAACATGCCAACCGAGAAAGAGTCCGCAGCTGGCAGCCCCTGACCCACATCTGCTTCCCTAACAGGGTGGGGGAGCTCTGGTCCATCAATTGCCAGTCTCTGGGGGAAGTGGGAGCTGCAGAAGTGGGACTGTAGGGGTGTAACACATGGGCACGGGGGGGGGGGAGCAGAAGGGGAGGCAGCAGTAAATAAGTAGAAATACTTAATTAACTGACTATTTGCATTGCAGATAACTCGGTTCTGCCTCCCCCTAACAAAAAGCCTGCCCCCCCAAAAAAATAAATGCTGACTATGCCCATCCTGTAGCAAGTGCTAGAGATTTTCATGAATGCCTCTGTTTGACGACTCATGAGTAGATGCAGGCTAAGAAGGACCCTACTCCTGGGTTACAAACAGGGCCTGCCCAACTTATAGCACATCCTCCTTCCTATGGTTTGCGTTCATATAGAAAACCAGGATAGCAAGTCACAAACTTCTTTCTGGCATGCTTGAATTAATTACCAGTTGCTTCTGAAACACAGCTGGCCCTGAGGTGAACCACCAAATGGTGCCCACCCCATCCCCCTAGCCAGGGAATAAGGGGTGAGTGAAGATCTCAATCTATGTTGAGAACAGGGTAGGAATCAAATCCACCTGACTTGATGACTGAACTGAGAATCCCAAGGGGCCCTCTCTGAATCGTGCTGGGCAGGTGCAGAGCCCAGGAGACCCCAGAGGGCAGCCCCTGCCTTCTCCTGCCTAGTGGTGGAAGGAGCTCAGCGCCCCTGATTCACCAAGAGGCCATGGTATAGGTGGTATGGGGGGGGGCTGCTGCTGAGGAGGAGGGGCTGTAGTCATTGCTGCCACTGCAGCAGTAGCAGCGGCAGGAGGAGGAGCAGGTGATGCTTCCCTTGGTGGCCAGATCTGCTGCTCCTGTGGATCCTGCCTCCCCTTGCCTCCTGGGTGGGTCGGCCCTGCTCAGAAGGCATCTCAACCTTGTGAGCCGCTTCTGTATGTTTCTACCATTGCTCTCTTTTAATGTTCTGTTTGTCTACAAAACAACAGGAATGAGAAAGAGAAATTCTGCATTTTCCTCTTTTTTACAGTTTATATTTCTACAAGGCATTTTAACTTAATTAAAAACTCAAAAGTCTAACCCAAGTAATAGAAACTGCTGGCTGTCCGCGGCACCTCTAGAAATAACATTAATATTAGCAGATAAACTGGTTTAGGACTTAAAGTAACCCCCCAAAGTGTTTCAGAAAGGGAGCGCAGCAGTCAAGATCAGGAAAATAGGGGAGGTAACTGTAGATACATTTTCGAGAAAGAGAGATGGAGTCAAGAGACTCTGTTTCCTTTAAATTAAGAGGAATGTCTTATGGTGAAACTGATGCTTGACAAAATGCTGGGAAGGAAGAGAAGGAATCATTACAGAAATTGACATACACTTGTGAAAAACAGCTCTAGTGCAGCGATGTTTCAGACGGAGGACAGGGACCAGAGGCCACAAGCTTTTCGTGCTGTCCCCGGACCTCCTGACCCCGGCCTAACTTTGTTTAGCAGGGGAGCCGGGCACACTGCCCGGAACACAGCTGACAGCAAAAACCACCGATTGTTTTCCCCTATAAAAGCACCCCAAATCTGCATCTTTATATCTAAATTAGCATATGCCTATCTTATGCAAATTTCTGTCATGGGCATGAGCCCTGAGTGTTTTAGGTGCCTAGCAATGTCCCTGTGTTAGTGCTGCGCTTTACGGTTATGTTGTATGCAGCAGGATATGAGTGTATTTCTAGTTTTAGCAGTATGTAATGAAACAGTGTGATTATTAAAATTAAAAACAGTATCGGTTTTTAAGAGAGAGAACTTCACGTCTATGAACGTACAACTTCTTTGCTACTTCTGCGAAAACTAAAGTAGGTCCATATACAGTATTCTGCTACACAGAAACTAAAGAGCACACATTTCGAGCGCCATGCTTGCTCATATTCACAGCTCCTTTCCAGCTCTGAGTTGCTTTTCTCCTGAATTACTCTTTTCTCGAATTATTCCACGGCGAATGAGCCACTGCTTGCCAAACAAGCCTCCCCTCGGGGTCTTTCATTCTGAACTGCTGCCGTCACCTTTTCCTCCTCCTAATACGAATGGAAAGATCGTCCGGAACCTGCTTCTGACCAGGCGGAAATTCCCTGGTTCTGGAAGCAAACTCCGGGCGCTCAGCAGCACCTCTCCAAAGGGACCTCGGGCCCCCAGGTGCTCGGCTCCCCGGCCTTTCCTTGGCCGGCTCTCGCGGAGGAACCGGCCCTTGTTCTCCTCCTCCTCTACCAGGGCGCACCTGGAGCTGTCAAAGGTCCCGGTGGCTCCGTGGGAAAGCAGCCCCCCCAACCCCCCCCCACCCCGCTCTGCCAGCCTCCCCCTCCCCCCGCGGAGAGGAGCCCTTCCCCTTTTTTACCTGTCACGATTCCTCTCGGCGGAGCTGCGCGCAGCCCAGGAAGCCTGGCCGGAGCCCCCCGGCAGGACGGCCAGCGCCAAGGGGGTCCTGGGCGCGCATCCCAGAGAGAGAGCGAGCGAGCGAGCGAGCGGGAGCGCGGCCGAGGAGAGCCTGCGAGGCGGGGGGGGGGGCAGCAACAGGAAATGACATGGGAAACTTCGCCAGCCTCGTCTAAGCTAAACTTGGCCCGACATGTCGGGGGGGGGGGAGTCCCCCTTCTGCGTTAACCAGGCCAAAAAAAAAAAAGATCTGAAAGGAGCCCAGCCAGCCGCCTTGAGAGAGGAATGAAAGAAATGGAAAAGAAGGAAAAGACATTTTCTTTTGCTCAGCAAAAGAAAAGTTTGCCATCGCCGCCCCGCCACTCACCCCCCTCGCACCCCCAGCCCACCCAGGAGGAGCCCCCGGGCGCTTCCCCGGAGACGCGCGCCCTCGCTTGCCAGACGGGGGTGCCCCAGACACCGGACTTTCATCTCCGACGCTTCGGTAATCTAAAACAAACAAAAAATAGCAAGATGTATTTTTAAAATTCTACTTGTGACAAAGAACTGACTTGTGAAAGTATGCAGGAAACTCAGAAACTCTCTCTGGCGCCCCATGGACGGATCAGAGATATTGGTGCACCATTTCAAAGCTGCTACAGAAAATTGAATGTGCTCACACTCCTTCCAACCCTAAATACGTAGTGCCTGCCCTATCTAAACACTGCGGCTTTTTGATGCAAATTTTAGTCCCTTGAGCCCCACACTGGGCAAAAGATCCCTGCACGGCCGGGGCTTGGACTAGATGACCCTTGTGATCCCTTAAAACTTTCCAGTTCAAACGAATTTAGGGCAGAATTCAAAGTATGTGTGTGCGCGCGCGTAATCATCATCATCCTCATCATCATCTGCCACAGCCGTGGAAAATATGCAAAAGCAACCTTTGGCTGTGCTGTCAGAGCACTCTGGCCCCGCATCTTCTACGCCAACAAAGCGCCATCTGCAGAGCAGGCGAAATGGGGCAGAGTTGTGGGTGAGATATGGAAAGCAGAGAGACTTACACCATAGCTCTTTACTTCTCCCGAAGGTGAGGCCAGCAGAGCCAGAGAGCAGCCCCGGGAGGCTGCAGAAGAGGACTCGCCATCATCGCCCGCCCAGCATTTCCCTGCTGCTGCTGCTGCCGCCTTCTCTGCAAACCATCTAGCCTAGGGAGATGCTCTGAGCTCCTCGGAGTGCAATGAGAACAGCACCAGAAACGTCGTTTATTGCTTTTTGCTCTGTACTTACGTACTTAAGTCTAAATTATTTGTTTTGTATTGCTGAAATTATTCCATTTGCTGAATTGTTGATTTTGTCCTAGATACACAACTAATCATCTTCTTTTATCAATTCAAGCAATTATACTCCTTGGTCCCATTTTCACACTTGTAAGAATAAACTGGTTTATTTTTAATCCAAATTGGGATTCAGTGGCTCTTGCTATGGCTTTGCTCTGGGCACAGATCTATGACTAGGAATGGAGGAATCTGTCAGTTTTGGATTCTTACCGTTTTTGGTTTTCCAACTGTAATCTCAGTTTGCCCCATTTCTGCATCCCTTTCTCCTTATAACTTCCACATTTCTCCTTATAAATGAATGTTTATGCACAATTTTGCACAATGCTGTCATTTTTGCAAGTAGTTTCCTCCAATGCTGTGTAGTTTTGTACAGTGGTACCTTGGGTTACACACGCTTCAGGTTACAGACGCTTCAGGTTATGGACTCCGCTAACCCAGAAATAGTACCTCGGGTTAAGAACTTTGCTTCAGGATGAGAACAGAAATCGTGCTCCGGCGGCAGCGGGAGGCCCCATTAGCTAAAGTGGTGCTTCAGGTTAAGAACAGTTTCAGGTTAAGAACGGACCACCGGAATGAATTCAGTACTTAACCCGAGGTACCACTGTACTTTATGTTCACCACTTCTGTACACACTTGGGTGGGAGAACTGCACCACAACATTCAGAAGAGTGCAAACGTCAAAGGTTAACTGTGTTTCAGTTCTTTTGCTATTTTGTGAAGTGTGAATTAGGTAGATTTGCATTAAAATGCAAACTGAATGAATTTCGCCCCCAACCCTGCCCTTGACACAAATTGTGAGGAATAGACGTAGAGGCTTTCTACAGCCTGACACTATTGCCTACATATGTTTACAGCATAGCACTAAGGCACTGACACTTTTCCTTAGCCCTTCAGCCCTAAACCTGTTTCTTTGCAGGTTGAGCACCTATTGAAGCTTGGATCAGTGCTATAGGAATGTTTAATAAAACATATGCTTTTAAATCCTATTCTCTGAATTCTAATAATCCACCTCTTGCATAGTTTAGGTTAGGCAGCGAAGCATAATCCTATGAATATTTTACAATTTGCTCTACTGTGGTTATGAATTCTAAACCTTCAGTTCTAACAATTAATTATTGCAAACTTTAAACTGCTAAATGCAATCCTGTACAGTTTTAACCAAAATGTGAAACCAATACAGGAAATATTCAAATTTATCAGAACTAGATCTGACCCAAGACTTAACATGAGATGCTACTAGTCTAGACTCCAATGTGCCACAGAACTCTGGCTCCATGTTCCATAATGTTCCAAGTGTTATTAAGCTTTTGATTGTGTTAAGTGACACACCAAAGTACCCAGTATCCAGCGTACAGTGGTACCTTGGTTTACAACCATGATCTGCTCCGGAGGTCCATTTGTAAACCAAAACAGGTTGTAACCCAAGGCGCGCTTTCGCCAATGGGGCCTCCAAAAAACATTTGTTTGTAATAAAAGGGGGGGGGTTGTAATCCAAAAAAAGGTTGCAAACCGGGACACACACTTCCGAGTTTGATGTGTTTGTAATCCAAGATGTATGCAAACCAAGACGTATGCAAACCAAGGTACCACTGTACTTTAATGCAAGTGTTGCGTGCCACCCCCATCGCTAAGCAGTGCGAGATTCCAGGGGTTTGAGGCATTTCCCAGGAATCTTTATGATATCTGGTTTATTTACACATATATGCAACTTGAGGCTACGATGGAGGGGCCCACAGCACTGACACCCCAGAAGCTTTTGCTTCTCCCAGGGTCACAGCCTTGGATTTCAGCCGAAATCAAGCACGGCTCTCCCTCTCTGGCTTCTTAGCCCAGCTCACACAACGTCATCCTGCTATTGTCTTTCTTACCACCTGCCAGGTGAGGGAGGGCACCCATCCATTTGCCCTCTGGTACAGAGCAACTTCTTTGCTTATACCATTATGGCTCTTGCCTGGCTACTTGAACCATGGGGTCCTCCCTTGGATTTTAACCCTTCCTGGGTCTACTTATGGCTTACTTCCAGTGGGCTTCTCTCTCTCTCTCTCTCTCTTTCTCGAGTGAATAGGAGGCTACATGAGTTGCTTAAACTAATGCATTACTCCTAACAAAATGTAATCTGCCTATAACCCTACCTGTCTCTACTGAAAGAAGAGCCGATGGAGCATTGAAACCAGGTGTGCACCAAGTTTCTGTTCAAACCTTAATTAAGTGATTTGGAAAACAGCCTAATTTGGTTATTTAGAGGCAGCTTGATTTGGCTTGGAGTCAAAATCCTAATTTAGAAAAACAGAAGCTTCATGCATCCCCATTCACTGTTACAAGAAAATCTGAGAGCAGCTTTTCCTTTTTATGTCAGAATTGGATGGAATTTGAAGGTGTGGTAAAATGCAGCCAAACTGAATACCAGTAGGTCCAGGATGTTTGCACCAGGCACCTTTAAAAACCGAGCTGGTTTTTTAAGGAACCATCTATTATTTTCATTTGCTGGTAGTTGGTTGGTTAGGTTGGTATCTGTCTGTTTTGGGAGACAGTGGAGGAGTGTACCTTTGGGGGTGAGGTCAAGCTGTTAGATGGTTGCAGCTCCTGCTGTGACTCTAGAGACCGATAAGGGAGAGACATGTTTTGTTGCAGCTGGGGCAAAGGAAGGTGCCCGGTTGTGCTGAGACCTTGTATGGCATGACTGATGGGACCATAGGCTCCCTTCAGAAGTTAACCTAACCAATCTTTTATGTAATTAATTTAAAAAACCTGTCAGATTTAGTCTCCAAATATTAGCTACAATCAAGCCAAAGTGTTATTGTCTATCTTTGTATGAAGTCAGTTACCCGGGGGGGGGGGAGGGAGAGCCCCTCAAACAAGACAAGCTTTCTGTTTATTTGCATTTGGCAAGACAGAGTTACATGCATTAACTCAGTCACTCCACTGATCCTAAGCCCTATTCTGCAAGCCTTAAAAAGATTTGTAAGACATAAAGCACTTTTTAAAAGTCCATATTAATCAAACAGAAAATGAACAGCAAGCTTTCAAGCGATTCTGCCTGTTGTGCAAAGTATTGCCAGAAATACATTTTACCACCCTAGCCAGCCAGCCAAGCCTGAGGAAAGGTCCTTTCCCCTCAGCTTCCAGGGCCATTTTCTGCATGCAATCTACACACATTTGCAACATAACCTGGTTTTTTAAAAAAAGAATCTTCCTAAATCTTCTCTGTAAAATTGTATAATAAGAAAGTGCTGAATTTGGAAAAAAATTAAACCCCTGTATGTTTCAATACTCAGTTTTTTGTTGTTTTCTAAATGTTTCTCTGCACCTTTATCTTCCCTAATTGTCAGATTAGGAGTGAGATCCAACGCTCCCCTTTCATAGTGTGGCCATATAAAGTGAGTGGCATCATGAAGTGCAGTGCTCAAGTGAACAAAACCGTGTTGAGACACACAGGAATTCTCCTTGGCCAAGACAGGTGGCACACATCTCTTCACACAACTGCAGACCACTCCACGCTCAGCGAATAAAGCTTTCTGGAACACAGGTCCAGACAGGGGGAATTCGTTTAAAATATGTATAGGGATCTGTTTCCCACTGAGATTCTGGCTCTGCTCCGCTGGAGGGCAACCGTGCCTTTATTCAATGGCCCAGAAACACAACAAAACACCCCAGAGGAGGAGAGCAGCAGTAACACCGGACAGCAAATTGTTCACATAGAAAATTGTCCTAGTAAAGCACATGGAGCAGCAATACAGGCAAGATTGGGATTTCCTGGGACATTTGAGTTTTATTGAGAAAATATAATAAAACGGCAATCTATTAGTTAACCAAGAAAGTACTCCCAGA